AGGTCACGCGATTCACTTAACACCACTTCCCTGGCATTGATGCGATTCTGCAACACTTCTAGAATTAAAAGCAACGGTGGCCGGGCGCGGCGGCTCACGCCTGTCATTCCAGCACTTTGGGAGGCAGAGGTGAGAGAAATGCCTGAGCGCGAGGGTTCGAGACCAGCCTGGGCAACGTGGCAAGACCTCGTCTCTTACGGTAAATCAAAAAATCAGCCGGGCGTGGTGGCGTGCACCTGTAGTTTCAGCTACTTGGAAGGCTGAAGCAGAAGGATCACCCGAGACCAGCAGATCCAGGCTGTGATGGCTGTGAGCATGCCACTACACTCCAGCCTGGGTGATAGACTGAGACTCAGACTCAAAAAAATAAAACAATGGTGGCCAGGCACGGTGGCTCCTACCTGTCATCCGGGCACTTTGGGAGGCCAAAATGTGGAGGATCACGTGAGCCCAGGAGGTCGAGACCAGCCTGGGCAACATAGCAAGACCTCGTTTCTACAAAAACAAAAAAACCAAAAAAGACCCACAAAGCATTAGCCACGCCTGTAGGTGGTGTGCGCCTGTAGTCCCAGCTACTCGGTAGGCTGAGGCGGAAGGATCCCCTGAGCTCCAGAGGTTGAGGCTGTGATGAGCCATGACCGTTCCATCACCCTCCAGCCTGGCTGAAAGAGTGAGACTCCAACTCAAAAAAAAAAAAGAGAGAGAGGGAGGAGAACTCTCAGTTGGGGTTTAATGCAGGGGAACAGAACCCGCCCTAAGTCTTTTGAGCAGGCAACATTGGGTTGCCACACAACACGTGACACAAGTTGCCACCACCCCTAGGCCTGGAGGGATAAAGGGAGGAAGTGGCGTCCCCAGACTCCAGAGTGCCAGGGTGCCCCAGGGAACTCTAGAACCGCGGTGGGCCCACTCTTTGGGCACCGGGACCACGGAGAAGTCCAGCCGCCGTCAACGATACCGCCAAGGCCAAAGTCCCTGCCTCTGTCCTCTGCCCGTCTGCCCGGCCTCACCCTGGCCGAGTCGGAAGCCAAAGGCCGGGAGTCCCGGGGCTTCTGCCCCTGAAAGCTCATGTCTCCAGGAGTCATCCAGACTCGATGTCAGGGTGGCTCTGGAGAGGATTTGTCTTGCTAAATGACAGCTCTCTGGAGCCCTGTGGCTGAAACTGCTTCCCAAATTCACACGGCATCACCGCAGGGGAACTCTCTTTACCACCGACACTACTCTTTGCTAAACTTGGGACATTTGTGTTTACATTATCTGTTGGGTTTTGTTTTTGTTTTTGTTTTTTTTTGGCACGCTACCATACCTGGCTATTTATTTTATTTTATTGTAGAGATGAGGTCTCGCCACGTTGCCCAGGCTGGTCTTGAACCCACGGGCTCAGGCAATCCACTCGCCTCGGCCTTCCAAAGTGCTGGGATTACAGGCTGAGCCACCGAGCCTGGCCTGGTATTTTTTTTTTTTTAATGGAATGCATTTATCTTTTATTTTTTAATTTTTTTTGAGTTAGAGTCTCACTCCGCCACCCAGGCTGGAGTGCGGTGGCATTCTCATGGCCACCCCCAGCATCAACCTGCTGGGCTCAGGTGATCCTTCCGCCTCAGCCTTCCAAGTAGCTGGAACTACAAGCGTGTGCCACCATGCCCAGCTCATTTTTTTGATTTATTGTAGAGATGAGGTCTCGACAAGTTTCCCAGGCTGGTCTTGAACCCCCAGGTTCAGGCAATCCTCTCGCCTTGGCCTTCCAAAGTGCTGGAATTACAGGCTGAGCCACCAAGCCCGACCTCTTTTTCTTTTTCTTTTTTTTGAGTCAGTCTCACTCTGTCACCCAGCCTGGAGGGCAATGGCATGCTCACGGCCACCGCAATCTCAACCTGCTGGGTTCAGGCGATCCTTCCACCTCAGCCTCCCAAGTAGCTGGAACTACAGGCTTGCGCCACCACACCCGGCTTACTTTTTGATTTGTTGTAGAGATGCGATCTCGACATGTTGCCCAGGCTGGTCTCGAATTCCCGGACTTAGGCAATCCTCTCGCCTCAGCCTCCCAAAGTGCTGGGCTTACAGGTGTTAGCCACCGTGCCTGGCTGTTCTGAGTATTTTCAAAAGCATCTCTGGTGGCTCCAGGCAGGTGGACCATGGTTGCCATGAGGTGAATGTTGTCATGGCTCCTGCTGCCGCCCGGGACTCACTGGGGATGGGTGGTGGGGTCCCCACTGTAGTCCAGCGGTCACCACGGTCTCCATTACCCCCGTGGTCCTACCCAAGCTCCTATTGACAGATGCCGATGCCCCAGCTGGAGCTGGAGGGAACGTGGGGTGGGCTCAGGCTGCACTGTCCCACAGTAGAAGGTGTGGCCACCACTGTTCCTGCAGGGATCTTTGAGGACCCGTAAGAAGAGATTCTCCTGGATGTGGGGCTGGGAGTGACCAAGGCAACCCGGAGGGTAGCTTGGGACGGGCCTGGCACTTTCCTGAGGCTTTGCATTAACTCCATGACGCCGCCACAGCCCGCAGAAGTCGTGCCCGGTAGCCCCGTTTCATGGATGAGGACGCGGAGGCACAAAGTGGGGTTCATTCCCAAAGTCAAGGAGCCAGGAAGTGGCTGAGCGGGGGTTTGAACTTGTATCCCACACCCCAGAGGCTCCTTCACACACAAGGACACGCCCCTCCACACATGTGCACACATACACACGGGCACACCTCTCACATGCGCCCATGGGCACGCCCCTAACACATACACATGCACACACACAGCCTCCACACATGCACACACATGGACATACCCTTACACACACAAGCACCCCCAACACACGTGAGCAGACACGGACACGCCCCTCCACATGCACACACATGCGCATGCCCCTACACGCAGGAACATCTTTACACACACACAGTGTCACGCTCTACCACATGGGCTCTACCACATGGGCTCGCCTTAACACACACTCACAGGCACACTCCTAATGATACACAGACCCACTAACGTCCGTCCATCTTGCCACAGGCCCTAGGGAAGGGCATGGCAAGGGTTCAAGCATTCCTGCACATTTCTGAGCACATTCCTGAGTCCCCTTGACTTCTAGGCACTCCTAGTAAGTGGCTTCAGGGGATCCTTGGCATCCCTGCAGACTTCGCCCAAAGGTGCAAATCCCGGCCAGGCTCTGTGGCTCAGCCTGTCATCCTGCACCTTGGGAGGCTGAGGTGAGGGGATTGCCTGAGCCCGCGGGTTCGAGACCCGCCTGGGCAACTTGGCGAGACCTCATCTCTACAATAAATCAAAAATTAGCCGGGTGTGGTAGCGTGCGCCTGTAGTTTCAGCTACTTGGAAGGCTGAGGCGAAAGGATCGCCAGAGCCCAGCGGGTTGAGGCTGCGGTGGATGGGAGTGGCCACTGCACACCAGTCTGGGCGACAGAGTGAGACTCCGACTCAAAAAAAAAAAGAAAGGCAAAGATGCAAATCCCTGTCGACTCCCAGCTCCATAGACATAGGTCTGGACGACACAGCATCCATGTAACCGGAAGTCTTGCGAGTTGCATAACTTTTGCAACAATGGAATCCTGTAAGTCTTGTGAGTTGCCTAACTTCTGCAACACATGATGTCTTGGGCCTCGTAAACTTCCTTGGCTTCAAATGCCACTACGTAAACGTTAAATGCGGCTGTAACTTAAGTTCTAGACTGCCCTGCTGGTCTCGTGGCTAATGCCTAGGTCTGACAACTCCACGGACTACGAACGTGGACTGCGAGGCCTGAAGGGTGGGCAGAACTATTTTAGAAAGGCCTCGAGTCTGGCTCTGCTCCCTGGATTCCAATTCAGAAATCAGGTTTTTTTTGAGTTGGAGTCTCACTCGGTCACCCAGACTGGAGTGCAGTGGCCACCGCTCCCGGCCCCCGCAGCCTCCACCTGCTGGGCTCCAGCGATCCTTCCGCCTC